TCGAAGTATTTTTGTGTGTGCCCAACTGAGCACCATTAGGTAGTGCCAAACAGTCGGTGGTTCCTCGTTTGGAGTGCCAACTGCACTCTTAGGGGGGCCGCTCGGTTTGGGTTATCTGTGTTGCCTGTAGGTGATGACGGATGCTCGTCGGAGTGTCTCCCTGGTTTAGTGGGTGGTGGGAACCAACAGTCTGTGGGGTTCACCCGTGATGTGATTAGGTGATGTGCTGCTTTGCTCCGTGTTGGATGTGTGGACGACCCCGTCTGCGCTCCACCACTGCCTTGCTGCCCGTCCCGCTTGCCTCGCAGATCGTTCTTGGCATGCTGCTGTCTTCGCTGTGTGGTGTGGCTGGGTTGTGGTGTTGTCTTGCGCTTCGCTGCCTTGCTGCCCGTCCCCTGGTCATGCCTTTCGGGTCTTTTGCTTGCGCGCCCTGTAGTTTGGTTGCCGTGTTGGGGTTGCCTTGTGCTGCTCAGCATGGTCGCTCTGCTGCTTGTCCGCTTGCCCTCTTGTCCCTTGCAGTGTGGTTGTCTTGGTGGTGTTGCCTGGTTCTTCAGTGCTTGGGCGTCGTGCTGCGAGTTCGGTGTGCCGTGTCGTTCCTTGCACTCGTTTTGTGCAGCCGTGTTGCCTCTACTGCGCTGCCTGGTGCTCTGCAAGGTTGCTGCCCACTGCTATGTTCCGCTTGGGGACAGTCTGCCTTCAACAAGAGTCAAAGGGTTCATGACCCAAATCATCAATACGGCCATTCCGCAGATTGTCGAGGGTTCAGCCTCCTGATGAGTCGGTGTAACTCCGACGAAACAATCTATTATCAATTTTATTTTTTTCGGTTTTGCATGTTTTGATACTTCATGTTTTTTGGGATGTTTCTTTGGCATGTTGGTTGTGTTTTGGGCACTGTGTATTGTCTGTCTTCCCACCCGCCTCCCCATGCCCTCCATCCTTTGCTCTCTGTTGTGAACTTGCCACTTTTTGTCATCAACTTTTTTTGGTCCCCTGCCTCTTTCCTCACTTTTGTTCATCAGTCGTTCTTCTGGACTCGACCTTTCTCTCTCATCTGTCAGGCTGAGCTCTCGCCATGAGGACTTGGTCCATCTGTACGATGGCATTCTCGTCTGAATGTCGTGCTTTTGTTCTGCAGCCTCTAGTCTTGCGCTGTGTTGTTGTTTTGGGAAGGGTCGTCTGGTGTGAAGCTTGGTCGTTGGGGTTATGTTTTGATTACTTACCACACGCACACCCCCAGGAGTCCGTAACTTCGTGCGGGGTCCCCTGAAGGGCTGATACCCCTTCTCACACCCTGATCACTTTTTTTCGAGATGACTTGAATCGCGAAATATGTCTTGCGGTATGAATAGTCGTGGTTTTCTCGACGTGCATCCTGTTATGATTGGTCCTAGTTCCCCTTCCTCGTGCCTTGTGCCCTTGAGGCTGGGTTACACAGATGGTTGGGTCTTGAATCTGGTGGTTGGAGAGTATGGTTGGTCTCTTGTTTGTGTCTTGTTGACATAGGTTGTGTATGTGTCTGTCTGTTTGCGTGTGTGGAGTCCTTGGGGCACCAGGCCGAATAGCCTAGTGCCCTAGGACACCTGGAGGGACAGTGGGTGGGTCACACACACACACACACATATATTTGGATCATATATATATATAATATATATATATATATGTATATATATAAGATGGATGAATAAGGAGGAGGGGATTAAAAAAAGTAAAAAGAAGTAAAAAAAGTAGAAAAAGTCTTTTTAAAAAAAGTAAAAAAAAGTGAAAAAAAAGGGTAAAAAAGTAAAAAAGAAAAAAAGAAAAAAAAGAAAATAAAAAAAGTGATAAAAAATGAAAAAAATGATGAAGGGAAAGAATAGGGAGAGAATTTTAAAATAAATGGATGATATATATAGAAGAAGTCATGTATATAGATTTTTTTGGGGGGCTGCTTGTGTATATATGTAATATTAGGCTTGGTCTCATATGGAATTGATCTATTCCCCGGGGTACCCGAAAAGAAAAAAAACCTGTGACGGATCCGCCGCAGGTAGGACGCGTGTACCCCTCGTTGGAATAAAAAAAAAAAAAATTTGGCGGGGCCGCGGCAACACTCTTCGCGCGAAACACGAAGAAGCCACCTCTTGATTTCATCGGGACGGCACGTTATTTAATCGCTCCGAGCGGGGACTTTAATCCTCTGAAGCGGATCATTAACGGAGGAGGGATTGCGCGCCAAAACTCGGTTCGCTATGAGGGCGCGCTGAATATCTCTCTCTCCCCGCGGTGGTTCGCTTGGTGTCTACTAGCGTCCCTCTCTTCTCTCTTCTCTCTCTCTCTCCCCCCCCCCCTCTCTCTCTCTCTCTCTCTCTCTTTCTCTCTCTCTTCCTCTCGTTTTTTATCCGATCGAGAACTCGGAAGCTGCGCCGATGTACGCCACCCCATCGCTGATGTCCCCAGTCTTATGCAAGTTTATCTCTCGCCTACCTCTTCCACCTAAGCCGTCACCCTCCATTGTATCTTTTCGAGATTGGATCCACTCTGGGCTGATTGGCATCTACTTTGCGTCGGCAATGAGTGCGTCCTCGTCATCAGCTACAGGAGCGACAGTGGTAATGATATCGTTGTTCCCACCAACCCTCCCCCCTCCCCCTTCCCTCCTTCCTCGACTTCCCATCTCTCTTCCTCTCTCCCTTGCCATTCTTAAGGTGTTTTTCTATCTCCCCCTATTGTATAACTCCTTACCGTTCGGAGCGATAACTAAGGGTAGATCTCCCCCCTGATGAGCCAATCCAGTGGATATTGGCGAAAAARCTTTAGGGAATTTCCACTAATACCCTTACACGTTTCGCCGGCACATAAGGGGCCGCTTGGCCGAMAGGGAAAATGTCTAAAACTCYTTCATAYCCGCTWYCTTCTTTTGATCATTGTGGATGCTATCTAACCCTRTGCGCACACTCCCCCGTTTATGTATTGTATGTGTTTGAATGATGAGTGTGCATAGGACTTGGTTTCTTCATCAGGATTGGAGTGAATGCTTCGGCTCTACGGAAGTACTTTGGATATGGAYGCTACCTCATGCATCGCAATCATCGCCATGTTTTTTGCTACTTTGGCCTTCTTCATGTTCCTAGATTCTGCTCATAATTGTTCATGCTGCACATGTGTAGTATGCTCCTGGAACTGCACGATACCAACTAACCGCCTGCAGAGGTGCTTTGCGTAGGGGTGTGGAGATGGCTTCGTTCATTGTTTTTTTTTTTTTTCATTTAGTCCTTTGTATGTTGGGTAGCACTGTCTGTGCCGCAGGCGTCACAATCACCATGCTGTATCAGTCCGGGTGGCTCGAGTGTGGACATGACCAAGACCAATGTGCTGCTGATAGTTGGTCGCGACCGGTGAAGATGATAGCCCCTCTGATTTTCGTCACAGGGATTTGTGTCTGTATTTGGGGAATTGCTAGCAGGCGCCGTCATTTGCGCACATGGAATGGGCAATTGTATGTTGCCGGGGAGGATGGTGCAGGGGGGGTGTATATACGATGGGACTGTAGGTCGACGACCTGTCGAGGGATCTGAAGAGTAGGGGCTCATCATGGGGGAAAGGCAATTGAGTAGTGCCGATGGTAGAGGAGCAGAGGATGGATGTATACGGTGGGGGACTATGATTCGACGTTCTGGCGGGGGCTAAGAGGTTTCGGAGGATATGTGGAGTGGGCCGACTGAATGCTGCATTTTTAAGGAAAGACTTTTTCACGAAACGCCATGGAGTTCCGCTTCCATCAGGAATGRGAGATCAATGTGTCKGGGTGGTGGCGAGCAATGTTCGGACGCCTGCATGGGACGGGTTACTATCGTTTCCTCCTGATAAGGCGATAGGATACTTGTGCAGCTTTAAGCTTTGCAGGGARTGGATTGATAAGTGTATTGGCGCCTACGATCTRGGTTGTAGCCATGGCTGACGTAKTRCAACTGATRAATTAGTATTGGCAGATGCTCGAAACTCAGGATGGGGCTTGCTAGTCTAATGATTTGATTGACAGATTAGAATTCTAATATTTGCCTTGCTATGCACATGATTGAAGTAGGGTGTGCCGTTCAACGAAATGTGGCTTTCACGTATGAATGAATGAAGTGATGGGCTAAAGGAATGGGTCGGTTTTTTTCCCTGAATTGAGTCATTGACTCTGTTCGTCTGTTTTCAGATCATGCTATTTGTCTCGAATAATTTTTTTTCGGATTGAGATGAATTTCCTTTGCCCGCTTTTGCAGCTCTCGTTTTTGCGTTGAATAAAAGTTTTGGACTCTTATCTAGGTTTCGCCTGTATATGTGATGAGAAATCCCTCTTCCTTTTCCTTCACTACTCGCCCCTCTAATACTGGTCTGCGGCGCATCTCTTACTCATGGTTACCAATCCTTGGTTTGATCGTCAAAAAGGCATCTAACTGTTTCGCCGAGCTCCCTGAAAATATGGAAACCCCGAGGCAAATCTTTAAACGAGTTGGGGTTGTTAATTGGCACTTAGTATCCTTCTTTCGTGAATACAGACCTTTGCCGCTCAATGTTTTGTTCCCTACTCTATCTGCATATCCGTATCGCATGTGGATGATCCATGACTCGCTGCGACATGTCGCAGTGGCTGTTTAATTATGTAACTACACACACACATACGGGGGACCTTGTTCCCACCCTGTTGCCATCAAGGGGGTTGAATCCAACTTGTCGAGTCATGTAATCCCTTTGTGATCCCAATGTGCTGAGTCAGGAGGACCTTACGGGAAGGCAGCATAGCAGTTATGTATTCCTATAAGAAGTATTTTTTTGTGCATGCGGCCCTTCTCTTCATGTGTCTCCTCTGTCCTGTTTGCAGAAACCAGCCTTCACACGAAATGGATGGTATGCTGATCTTGCCAAGGGGGATCGCTCATGGCTGGATCGTTTCCCTGCCCCATCACGCCCCACCCAGGCGTTAATTGCACTGGCAAACCGCAAAGTTATGCGGTTTGTCATGGACAATTCGCTCCGTGCCCTCCGCCCCAACCCTCCCCTAATCACTTGTCTTGCTTTCAATGACTGGGCCGACATCCTTTGGGTAGCAACGCATGACAAGGCCATGTTTCCTCAGTTCTCTAAGGATTTGGTTATGAATGCGAAGGACGAGCTGGATAACGATAAGTTGGTCCAAGCTTCGATTAGGGATGAGATAGCGATGAAAGAGAAACTGTTCGTTGATCTTTGGGGTGCAAAGTCTCTGTTCCATGATGGGCTTGTCCAGGTCCCAATTGAGGAAATGTGTGAGTCGGAGTCGGAGGACGAGGAGGGTGTTCTCCTCACCGAGGAGGAGAAACAGTATTTGCAGCAGACGATATCGAAATCTAAGGCTGAGCTTGCGGTCAATCTTGCGAAGGAGAAGGGCAAGGGGGTTAATAAGTTCTATCGTAATGCGTTCCTCCCCATCGCCCCGTCTAGGTGGATCGAAAATGAGGCGATGAGATGCAATGATAAGATATGGGACCTTTATACCTTTAACCATAGTGCCCCAATTAGTATCAACGCCTACAGGCTCCTCGCCTACGGATATGGACTTATGTGAGGAGAGGGCTCTCGGAGCCAACACGGACCTAATAAAGGGGTCATACCCGTTGTCGGACGACGCCATGAAACTTCTTGTCGTAGGTCATTTTGATCCGCTAAAATGCTCGACGACTTCATCTCACCTGTCCATTAGAAGCTTTTGTGCTCCGAATGGCTCTGAGCCCCTCCCAGAGTTGAAAAGGATTTGGAACGTGGGTCGTCCCTTCCTTAAGTGTAGATGCCTTGAGAAGGGGTTGCCCGATTGCAAAACCTCCATCACCTGGTTTGATCATGTACTCTAGTACATCCTCGCAAACCCGGATTAACTCTCCCCTGCAGCCCCCACGCTCCTCGCCAGAATGAAAGTTTTGAGGAACTTTCTCAGGACCACCTGGAGAGCTCCGATCTTGGCATCGGTTGTGTTCTCTGAAATGAGGCACGTCATGCAGAAGATGGCGCACAACGTTATCGAGAACCCAGCTAGAAGGCATGACACCATCATCGATGACCCGGTCCTCATGACAAAAAAAATTCCCAGAAGAACGGCGAGTCTCATCTTCTCGGAGAAGTATTTGAGGAGTCCGAGTAAGAGAGCTAGAAGTCGGAATAGGGCGAATGAGGATGCCCACCCTGCCAAGAGGCAGAGCAACACCATCCTCTCGTACTACGTCAGACCAGCAGAGAAGCTTGCCCCCATCGACAACCATCAGGGTGATGAAGCTCTGAATGAAGCCCTCGTCGCATCCTCGAAGTCTCCTAATGACCCATTGGCGATGGTTGGAACTCCCCCTTCCTCAACCGTGACGGTCGCAACCAGCAACTGCAAATCAACTAGGAGCAGATACCTCAGGAGGAGCCCCAGATCGAAGGCAAAAGCCTCATTATTCGCAACTTAAAAGCAAGGTTCGCTAACCACTTCAGATTTATGCGTTTTTTTTTCTGTTTTTTTTTTTTTTTTTTTTTTCTGTGTGTTTTTTTCCTGTATTTTTGGTTTCAGGCAAATGAAGGATGCATGACAACTGATGAAGCGGGTCAAAAAAGATGGGTCGGTCCTGAATCTCCAAAGGCTGACTTGTACGTCCATGTCAAGTATTCCAGCAGGGCCATGGAATCTGTGAATTTCAGATCAATCGTGGAGAAAGCGTTTGAAGCCTTCTTTCCGCCGGCGACTATTATCCTGCTTTCGGTAATAATTATTGGATGGACATACGATCAAACGCTGGAATCAATTGTGTACAGACCTTCTCTGGTATTTAGAGATTTCATCCTTGAAGAATGGCTCAATGAATGTTCCAAATTTGTGCTTTGCCCGTGTACTGCGGTGGGGTTTGTAAAATTCCACCTCCCGCAGACGTTAGATATGTCCCAACCCTGCGCAGATCATTCCACACATGTGTTAACTCTAGACCCAAGCCTCGTCCAGAACACATCACTCAGGAACCTCCTAAGGAACGGACTGAATCATATACCACTGCAACCTCGCAATTCGTCTGTTGCCCTGCATAACTTTCTGAATGCCTGGCAAGCCATCATTGAGTTTGTAAAGAGGAGGACGTTCGTCCCCCCTGCAGGAGTAAAACGAGCATCGCAGTTTGTTTCTAATCAGATCAGATGGCAGTTAGCGAATTTAGGCGTCCGGAGCCATTCCGACCCCCCATGCCCGCTAAGCATGCACGCTGTAAAGCGGGAGGTGAATTTTTTGTTGAAGAGATTTTACATTGCAGGTACGGGTAAGTTTAGCAGCACTCCGTCCTTTGCATGTGTCCATCTTATCAGAAGAATGGCTTTGGAAAGACTCAATGGCGCGGATTTCGAAAAGGTTGGGCACACCCCACTGGAGATTTTTTATGAAGCCTCCACCTCACTAGCCGCCATCTCCTCAGGCCTCACCATTGGCCCCACCAAAATGCCCTACCTAATGGCACTATACAAGCAGCACAAAACTTCGTTCAGGTGGCTCACCAATGCTGCTGCGACCTTTCTGACGCCCGTGCTTCAATCTGCGATGCGGCAATCAAATGCGTCATCCCCCTGGTCAAAGCCAGATGCAAAGAAATTACTGAGGGTCTCCAGGCTTTTCATGGCGTCGACACCTCGATATGGTGGGCCATCGACTCTGTACAAGATTACTGCCACAACCTTCAGCAGAAGGTCTACTCGGTATTCTTGGCGGATATTTCTCGCTGCTTTGAGGCAATCCCGATTGGCTCTGAGGATGACGGTCTTCCTGCAGCTAGCACTTTTTTTCTGGACCTTGCGTGGAGGTATGCTGAAACAAAGGGTATAGGCAGGGTCATGAGGTGTAGGATCAAGACTAATGGTGACGTGGTATGTGCAATGAGTAATGGCTACGGTGTCGGGGCAAATACCCTGACAAGGGTATTTGCCGGGGGTTTTTCAATGTCGCACGTTGTGTGACTCTTTCGTTGAATTGAAGGACTTGATGAAAGGACGTTGCCAAAAGTTTATTCAGACCTGACCTATGACTGATCAAGCAAAGTGCGGGTTCACACAAGTGTGAAGGAAAATCTGTGTCATTCAACTGACTGGAATCTGGGATTGTACTGGTTTCTTTTGAACTTGTTTTCTTTGCATGTTGTGCAGATAGGTAGAAGGATATTTGCTATGGAGATTGACATTGCTTATTTGGGATGGAGAAAGGGATTGTCTTGTTTCTATCTTTCGCTTGCCTGCATGACAAAAGTACCTGAATTCTGAAAGGGGTAATTTTAACGGGTGCCATGAAAAAAAAATTGTGAATAAAAAGAAAACGCAGTCAATTGGACTTAGCGTTTTTCCAGGATGGACACATTTTATCCGGAATGACCTTCTATATCTATACCTGTCAAAGCGATTCTCATTCTCTATCTCATTCAATTTCTTTACATCTAAGTTATCATGAACCGAGAAGGGATGAAAATATGAAAACTACTGGCGGTGAACGCATTCTCTTTTCTCTAGGAAGCATCCAAGGCGGGGGTTCGTATGCTTTCGGAGTCGGCCCTGATATCGACTTGGAGTGGACCCGACTTGTCGGGGGTGGTACTTTGCCGACTCGGTGGTGACGGCCCAACCTCTGAGATCCGGGCCTGAGGGCTCGGGCGAGGGGAAGGAGTATCCACAGACCACTTCCTAGAGGAGGGGCGTGCAACGCCTCAAGTATGCACCTGATTAAGAATCATCCGCGAAGCAACCTGTCATCCAGGAAGATTGAGAATGTATGGAGACAGGCGTATGCGTGTTTAATCATAGGTCGACTTTAGTTGGAATGAATAACTTTGGCAGCGTGTCACATCAAGTCAAAATTAAGGCAGCCTGACTACCTTGTCGGCTGCATCAATGTTATTATCGATAGTCAACTTCTCGTTGGTGATTGTATGCTTGTTCTTGTGGAATTCAACCCGGGGTGGTCGGATTGGTTTTGATATCATGTTATTGGATGTATCAAGTGATGATTTAAATTCTCCCAGATATTACTTTGGGTTGAATATATAATTGTGTCGGCTACGGTCGATTTCTTTTGATGTAATTAGTTGTGGACGTTGTAATTTTTTTGATTGTGTGTAATAGGGGCTAGGATTAATTTTGTTGTTTCACGCTTGGTTGAGACCGTCTTAGTCGACCGGCGTCCGCTTCATACTTAGGAGATCAGCGCCCTAAAGAATGAACAACGTTCGGGTCCCCTTGGCGTTAACCAACGCATCTATATTACGGCGAACGAGCAAACGCCCTCGGCTGACCTACTTCTGCAATTGCATCTAAAAGCTTTCTCACGTGGGTCGGTAGCTCGGTAGGGATACACCCCTAAGGGTGGTGACAGCCCCTTAGGGAAGGTAGCTAATGCCCCGTGGGAACCTATCCTGTCGTAGGGGACCGTGGGATGTATTGTTGGCGCACCCGGCCAGAGAGGCGAGGGACGATGCAACCGCGCGCCGTTTCGGTGGCTCGCGGGATTATTATGCGTCGTTCCCAAGTTGTCTCCTGATGATTTTGTTTTGTTTATCTCCTGCGTGACATGGTCGGGAGGACCCTCGTTCACGCGAGGGTCGATGCGCTCGACAACGACCAGGGCTCGTCCTCTTCCTTTTTCTTGAGAAAGACAGATATCACTAAACTAATTTCTTGGATTCTGCAGAGGAGCTACACATCGATGGGTGGGCAGATCTGGAAGCAAATTCAAGACATCCCCATGGGCCTACCTTGCTCCCCCTCTCTGTGCATTGTCTATTTTTTTAAGTATGAATTCTCACTTATTATGCGTATCGTTCACAACAAGGCCTATCACCTCCTCCCGCTCTTCAAACATACATTCAGGTATATCGATGACCTGCACTCACTCAATAACCCCTCCATCCTGAAGTTTTTAAACCCTGCTCAACCACGGTGTCGAGCGCATCGGTCTGGCACCGCATCAAGGTAGCGCGGGACCCTCCCGGCCGCGTCACGAAGTAGTTGGTTTAAATCCTTCGTCGCAGATAATACATATGGAGCTTCCTTAAGCCACTCCGGCCGAGTGCGCCAGCCATACCTCTCGCGAGCCCCTACGACAGGATAGGGCCTACGTGAGACACGACTTACCTACACCTTACGGAAGCTGTCACCTCCCTTCGGTGGGCGTATCCCCGCCTAGCTACCAGTCCACAGTACGAAAGCTAATCAGTTGCAATCGCAGAGGTGGACCAGCCGAGGGTGTTTCTCGTTCGCTGTAGCATAGGGGGTACGCGCGGTAATGCGCCTCTATCAGACCCGCACGCGAACCGACACCTCGGAGGGCTGAAGTCCCAAGCGCGGCTCGACGTCGGTCGACTAGGACGCATCCCACACACCACGCACACAACACTCTAACAACCACGAGGCAACAACACACGCACATATACACAAAACAACACATATACGAAACGACACAACACAAACAACGTGACAACGCTCCTAGCCCCTCGGTAGCCAACCCATAACTTTCCGATGCGGAAATGAGATAGGCGTCGCGCGCGAGACTTAGTATAAAATCGAGCGGACGCCGGGCCTACTCATATCGACTAGCAATTCAAACGTATGCAAGCAGTCGCGAT